TTTTTGTTTCGTTTTTACAATATACAAAAAAGTGATAGTTAAAAAGCTTGTTTAAAAAAGTCGTCATTTTCCAAGTGACGTGTGATTTGAAAGCTCGACCAATCAGAAACGCGATGTACACCTGGCGGGCGACACTTTTAGCGTTACGCACGGGTCCCCATGCGATGACCACGAAAACTTACTTGCATAGTTTACCATATCCTATACCTATGGTGTTCCGCTCGCGCGGGCCTTCGGCCCGCGCGGGAGCTCCGCTACAAACTATAGCTTTTTATGACCGAGACTAGAATGCATTTTTTAAATTTTAAATTGAAATTTTTCAAAAATATTTATCCATACCATGAAACAAACTATGGGCTGATCTAAATAGTCAGGGCACCGGCAGCTAATTTACACATTGAACCCTGAAACAACCTTTGGGCTGATCTAAGTCAGGGCAAGGCTTTCTCACGGATCAAACCCTGACTGAACCAACCTCTGGGATGATCTAAGTCAGGGCATGGCTATTTGACGGATCGAACCCTGAAACAACTTCTGGGCTGAACTAAGTCAGGCCTAGGGTACGGCTAACTTACAGCTAGAACCCTGAAACAACTTCTGGGCTGATCTACTGATCTAAGTCGGGCCACGGCTAGCTGATCAAAGTCATCAGTAGCAAGGCTAAGGGTGCGCGAGGTTTTTTCGTGAAATCGGAATCGGGGGTAATAATTCTTCAGGAAAAGCCTAAGATTTGGAATACGACTGTTTCAATTTTTTAGTCACGAAGAGATGACACGAGTTTTTGTGAGTGGTCTTCTCAAGTGCCTTCTAAAATAAGGAGGGAAAAAAACGGATGCCGCCGTAAAATTTCGCTTGTATGGACGCGTTGCTTGGAAATAAATCACGAATGGATCGAGAAAGGACTTGCTTCTTTTCATCGCATGGTGAAAAGAGAGCCGATATAGGACCTTTTTCTCATTCAGTAAACACCGCTTTATAATCTTTGTATTCTGCACACCGACGAATAATATACGGTGTGGAAAGAAGACATCAACGTTGAAAATTCAGATATTTAAAGCGTTGCTCTTGAACATCATTTTATCGATTTTGCTACCGAAATCACTGAGCTACTACGAGGGAGCTACTACTGTTCAAGGTAATTTTGCCTTCTTCCTTCTTTCCCTCCTTTCCTATGATTCTCTCTTTCCATCAATATATTTAAGGAATATAAAACGCATGCGCATGTCTCTGTGCTGCAATATGAATACGCTAGGAGTTGTAGAGCAAGAGAGAAGCAAATTTTTCTAATAACACATGAGAAAATAGATTTTTGTAGGGATTTGTGTTAGACTTTATGAGATTTGTTAAGAGCACCGAAACTACAAAATATGACAAATCAATGTATCTCTTTGTCTCTTTGTCGAAAATATCCACGTATTATTGTAGCATGATTGACTAGCCTTCATTCGTGCAAACATATAGTCTGCAAATAACTATTATGTTATGAATGTTTTTTTTCTAATCACTTCCTTACCTTTCGTAGAAAATCAAGATGAACTCTGCAATACCACTTCTAGCTGTACTGTTAGTGACAATGGTCACGCAAACCATTCTGGCACATCCTGCTAAAAGTGATGATTTTGAGTACACTTCTGACGACTGCCCTCCAGGAGTCTGGGTTTGTCGCAAAAAACGTGCTGAAATCCCCATTAAAGCCGAGTCAGCCAGAAGTCCTGGCTCATCGGCAAAGTATCTACATGAAACATGAGAATTTAGAAAAACTATTTAAACGTTTAAATGATTTTGCTCTGAGATCAAGTAAAATTTGATCGTAACAGCGTAATCGATAATTCAATTCAACCTTTTAAGCTTGAATTAAAATTTGTCTACTGTATGAGTAACGAAGAAAAGTAACCACTATCATATAGCTGCTAGTGTTTGTTTAAATAAAAGTTTAATTAAAAGTTTAAATAAAGAATGGACGACGCAAGAGACGTGTTTGAATATCACTACCCAACTATGTGCTAACAGCATTTTGGATTAGTTCAAGAGGGCTTGACAAAATGAGATTGTCTCAAAGAAAGATTTAATCAGGACTATAATGATTACAACCTTTTGGCTGATCTAAGTCAGGGCATGGCTAACTCACAGATTGAACACTGAAACAACCTCTGGGCTGATCTAAGTTAGGGCATGGCTAACTCACAGATAGAATCCTGAAACAACCTCTGGGCTGATCCAAGTCAGGGCACCGCGAACTCACAGATAGAATCCTGAACAACGTCTCATCTGATCTAAGTTAGTGCACGGCTAACTCCAAATAGAATTCTGAAACAAATCTGACCTGACCAAAGTCAGTGCACGGCTAACTCACAGATGAAACCCTGAAAGAACATTTGGGTTGATTGAGTCAGGACAAGGCTAAGAGTGTCGCCAGGTTTTCTTCGTGAAATCGGGATCGGGGGTAATATGTAAATTTAATTTATAAATTTGAACTGCCTAAAAGTAAAGCTTCCAAAAAGGCAGAGGAAACCCAATTTAGATAAAACTTACAAGTGGAAATAAAATCGGGGAAATAAAACTTCAATTATTTTTTAAAATTAGAGATGAAGACAATGTCCCCATAGTGAAAACAACCATGCATCAAATTGAAATGCACTTCATCGTTTTCATTGCACGAGTCTTTGTTTTCGACCTTACTACTCTCCCACTTAAGCCTGTTTCCCATATAATCGAAAACTATCGTAAACGATCGAGAACGATCGCAGGATCGTGGAGCTCACTGGAGCGTACGATCGCAAACGATCGAAAAACGACCGATTCCATATGATCGAAAAAGGTCATGCAAGGCGAGTCTGCGGGTATTTGTTTCAGCTTGAGTTGGCAGAATACCGAAAACTTCAGCTACTTTTTTCCAGGCGTTCAATTTTTTTGTTTGTCTATGAAGTCTTTGCTGCAGGGATTATAAAGGCAGTCGTATTTGGCCACTTCTTGCATACAAAAATAGGTATCAACATCTTTCGGATCTTTCTTCATCATGGATTATAGTTACTAGCAAGAGAATAATATATATATTTAGACACTGGCTAAAAGCGGAGCTCCCGATACGGAAGTCACAGGGAGAACAATTTGAATGAAACTGAAAGGTAAAAATAAGATCGGGG